AAAAAACAATAAAAAGTTTACCTTTCTACTAAAATAAGACCGTCGAAAACAAGACAATTTCATTGGTTTCTTGTGAATTTTCATGCACGAAATGTATTTCAAAGCTTCCAGAAGACTTCATCAGACTTCGAAAGACTTTCAAGACTTCATGAGACTTCAGTCGTGAAGTCTCCGCTGTTTCCCCCTTGGGTGTGGTTAAGCGGATGAAAGTGTAGTAGGAGACTCTGAACATAACACGTATCCGTACCTCACATTTTTTTTTCACGGAAAGATTGATTTGTATGAATTGATCATTATTTTGCTCCAATGTGTTGCTAATTGAGGAACAAGATCCATTCTATTTGTATTATTTCCTATTTGATTCTGCCAGGTGAAAATGGAATGCGATCATAAGTCTTCGTAAACTATCATTGTAACGGTTGATGTTTTCTTGAGATTATCATAGACATTCAATCATCACAAACTGTTTCACGAATGTGATATTGTGCAATCGACAAAAGATCAAGATAAGGAACTTATTCAGCTCGTTTGGTGAATTTTCGTTGCTTATAGAACTTTTGAAAAGGAGATAAGATAAAAAGTAAAGGATCAATTCGAAAATATTCAGGTGTACGCATTGTTTTTTACGTTCTTTTATGAGTGCGATGGGTTTTACCTAAATATATAAATCCAGTCATATTCTATACTAATACATACACACTCTTCTCCTTTTCACTACATTCTTCTCAAAATCGCAAATCTTTAAATTTGATCCACAACCAATACGTATTACTTTAGCTGATCTTCAGCTTCCATATGCAACACCCTCTGTCATGAATTATGGTGACCTAATATCTGTTCCATCGGATCCATGACTTTTCGCTCCGAAAGGATTTTTCGTAAAACTCTACATGAGTGGTTCACAATCACTACACTATCTACAATATACACAAGAAGATGATATGCTCGTTAGTGAATCAGCAATAAATCGAATATCTTGTTTATTGGATACAAACAAGGATGATTATCTGGATCAACGTGTTATCATTGGTGATGAAACAAATGGACTCAAGTATCCGTTCGGTATGACATTTGTAAATGGATATTTACATTCAGGTAATCAATTTAATATAAGACGTTACAAATGAACAAGTTGTTCTCAGCAATTAATCGAATAAAGATGAAGTAACCATGTCTTATCGTGGAGTTCGTCATATCACCCGAATGATTGTCATACCACCAACAGAAGATCGCATGTATGCTAGTATTGAAACCTTTGCTTCTGGTCTGAGAAATGCTGTCTGTCTAGCATATCATCCGATAACACATGATCTATATGCTTCATGTTAAGAATGTGATGAACTTGGTGACGATCTTGTAGCAGATTTTTTGACACATGTGCCAGAACATAGTTTTTTCGGTTAGCTCTACACTTATTTGAGTTCAAGTGTAATCGATCCAAGACGTACGCTCAATATTGGTTCAAGTGAACGACCGAATCTTGTTGCTCTTACATGTACACCAGATGATCTTAATCAAACGCATTCAAGTGCACTCGGTGTGGCTTTCTATACAGGTCAACAATTTCTTGAGCGATATTGAAATGGTGTATCCGTGACATTATGTGTTTCAGGCAATAGAAAAGTAGCAACTGGTTCGAAAATTATTGTTATACCTTTTAATATTTCAGCTCATCAACTAACGGGCTATTATGAAAATTTTGTTTATAGTTTATTAACAAATGGAACTTATCCGGAAGTATTTGATTGGTCTGTCGGACTACTTGTACTGAAAGATGACAGGATTTTATTTACAGACGATGGTAACAATCAAACCGATCAAGTTCAATGCTTTTCATTTCATTTTATATATTTATTCGACTATAATAAGCTATTTCTTTCTTACGTGTGTATTTTCATATGCTTAATGAATCAAAATTAAAAGAACAAATATATATTACGTAGATCGAAAAGAAAAAATAAATGTTACTTTGATCAGCAGCATCGTGCGAATCTTTAATCTTTTCTACATAGCATATCATGAAGCCAGAACACATCTATTCATATCTCACAGGGAATTTTTTTTCAAGAACAAGAAAAGTATTTATTTGAATTCGACTGTGTTCAATCATCTTGATAAGAATTCAAGCAGAAAGCTACGTGAATGCATTCAAGAAGTATAGATTTTTTTTCTTTTATTTGCATGTATGTTAATCATTTGAAGAAAATGATGTCTTCTTTATCACATGATGACATACACAGGGTTTTCGTTAATGTATCCCATCCGACTTAGTTTTCTTTTTAATACTTCGTGCAGTATTTGGACAAGGACAGAAATAGATTTATGACATTTTCTTTCACGCTGGATATGAGAAGAGCCACGAAAGAATACTAATGTCTTGCAATTTGGAGAAAAATCTACAGAAGCTATTGCATCTCATGACCATCGTACAAACCGAGATCTTGCATCGATTTTTCTCCTACACTGTAAACTAGAAAATAAATTATACAGTTTAATGAAAGCTGTTCTAGGAATGCCCATATGAATTCACCGATGAACTGTTAATTCTTTGAAAATAAGATATTTGAAGCATTAAGAAAATGAAGTTTGATTTTCTAATTGGAAAATCGAAAGTGAATTCATATGGGCATTCCTAGAATTTCGAATTGCATTTAGTAATTGGAGCATTTTCTAGAAATTTAAAAATCTACTAAGACTTTCTATTTTCAAGAGAAATACATCGAATAAAACAAATAAATAATTTTAATATAACTACATATAAGATGGACTGACTCACGTGACTACTGAAAAAATATAATTTGTCAACTCATTAGAGTTGTCGAAGAAAATAAAGAATGCACAACACTATCGGCTGACTTATATATATGAATGAACAATGATTCTATAGCGGTTATTGCTCAAATGATTTTTCAGAAAGTTGCTTTCATTTTTAACTTTTTCTAGAATTCACATTGATTTTCTAATTCCGTTGAAAATCATTTTTATAGAAAATCAAATTGAATTTCTATCCTTGTGAAAATCAAGCATTTTCGAGATAGTAAAAATTCGTCGAATGAATCATAAACCTTAGAAATGCTTCAACTTATTTAAGATTGATTTTCCAAAAAGTAAAATTTAAAAATAATTTACAGTGTAGTTCAAATGGATTTTCAAATCCATGAAACTGATCCTAGAAATTATCTAAAATAAATACAAGACCAAAAAGTGCATATCATTGTAGTTCGTTCATGTCTAGAAAAATGTTACAAGAATTAAACCATAAAGTTGTATATAGGGGTGTAATAAAGGATAGAGCATTATAACGTTGTTTTATATTGTGCTTCTTCCTCATGAAAGTAAAAGAAGAATATGAATAATTCAAATTTTTACCACAGGTCAAGATATTTTACAAATTTCTGAGACAAGCTGATATCAGCTCTACAACTATACATTTTTGAAATTGTTCTTTCATAGTTGTTTTTGTATAAAAGCATGTTAACGCAGCCCTTTTCGAGCTGAAACGTTGAAGTCAGTATTCCGTTTAGGTTACCAGATAGTTTAGCATAATTCTTTTTATGTTACGACATATAATTCAAAATTTTACAACAACTAAAGTGAAACAATGAAAATATTAATACATCGGAAGATTTATTTGTTTATTGATAATGATCAACCTTACACAAATGCATTCTTACAGACAATAGTACCCATTCTAGGGCTGTAATGATGCCCGAACAATTAAAAACTTAGTGTGATACAGTTACACTGTACACCCGATTACCTGATGACAACTGGACAAATTGAACGGAAGGAAAGCTCAGCACCGGAAAGTTGAGCACGAAAAGGGAAATTAATTTAGACATGCTGATAATGGGCAAGCGAATGCTGGATGTAGGTGGAGGTGGGAAAAGGCGTGCAGATGGAGTAGGTACGGGTGAGGATGAACAAGTGGGTGCCAGTAGAATGGATGATTAGGTGGAGGTAGGCATGTGAGGATCGATGAGGCAGCCGAGTGGTTGTGAATGTAAGTCGATGGGTGGATGTATATGTGGGTGTAAATAGGAGATCAAGCTGTTATATACATCCTGCGGGCTCATAACCACCCATCTCATTCACATCCATACTCACTCGCACCTACGCCAACTGGCTTTCACCAACAGTCACTCATTCGACATCTACACTCAGCATTCCTCAGCCTCAAGAGGAAAGCAGCAGGGATTTCAGTTGCGAAGCCTAAAAAGTCTGTTGAAGTCTTATAAAATCTCTGGAAATCTTTAGAAATCTCTTGAAATTTTTTGAAGTCTCGTAAATCTTTTGAAGTCTTTGAAAGTTCCACACAGTCTCATGAAGTCTTATGAAGTTCCAGACAGTTTTTGAGAGTCCCCAGAACTTCCAAAAAATGCTTTGAAGTCTTTGGAAGTCTTTCAGAAATTTGAAGTTTCTGATGTGGAAATTTTTTGAAGTCTCGTGAACTCGTCTGAAGTCTTGAAATCTTAAAATCAGCTGTTTTCCTCTCAGGCTGCCCATTATCAGCATGTCTAAATTAATTTTCTTTTTCGTGCTCAACTTTTCGGTTCTCGGCTCCAACATAGCAACATCATTAAATTAAAGCAATACTTATCGACATTAATTGACCCTGCAAAAGAGAATATTTTACAACAGCAGAAGAAATAGAAAGAACCGTATGATCGATATCGAACAAATCTGACATACAAAATTAATAATTTAGTGTCAATAAAAGCACTCAACCGACGAAATACATTTGATATTAGGTAGGAAGGACCCTTTCGAATTACATAACAACTCGGCACAAAAACATTTATCATCAAACATAAAAAACACACATTAACACGACAAGTTGCAATAGATGTCATTATATCCTTGTTTGAACGAAAAGGCATGGATTAGGTATATATTGGGTTAGTAACCTGAACTAAATACATTAAATTTCTAGTTATTGATACTAAACGTTTATGAATGATGCACGTATCACTCTTTATCTTTGCTGTTGTAAAATATTCTCTTTTGCAGGGTCAATTAATGT